TTGATGTTGAACTTATGAATAGTAACAAGAATATAAGGTATTTTTGGGAGATATATCAATGAATTTTTTTTCACTGCAAGTATTAAATGCTTATGTATAAATTAGCCTTTAAAGGACTCGTAATTCTACAGCTAACTTTATTTGGAAATTCTTTTATATATCATGGTAAATGATGGAGTTTTTATTTACTAGTTGAAGCAAGCATATTTATGAGAAAAATGCTTTAGAGTTAACATCCTGTTCAATAACAACAGTAGTAAGCACATGAAATGTTTGATATGATGTAACTTACATCCATCTAACATTAGTAGTTCCAAACCTTGAATCCTTTGTTCTTAAAAAATATTATAAAGGAGAGAAAATTCCAAGAATTCATCGTAAGATGAAGATATTACATACAATGTAATAAAAGAACATTTAATCTCAGTTTCTCTACCGATCTTTAAAAAGTTACGTGGGAACGTATAGACTGTTTTATATGTTTGCTGTTAAAAGGACAAAAGCTTGTGGTCAACGGTGGTGAAAATTGTAAGGAAACTCCCTTTGAATAAGGTATAGAATTTCCCCATTATTGTTTAGAATTGTAACACATTAATCAGAATACATATCCACTGAATTCCATAGTCTCTGAAATGGCAGTATATTGTAGTAAGGTGTGTATTTTCATTATGTGAGACTTCCTTTTCTAAATATTTGTTTTAAAATAGTAAACATTTTAGATTTCATGAAGACTCTCCTTATACTTGAGACAGCTTAGACTGTTTTCCTCTTTAGAAAATACCATTGGGGTTTATTGTTACCCTTATTATTGGAGTTCAATGACAGTTCTAAATTTTTTAAAAAACTTTTTGGTAGAATGTCATCTTCAGTGGAATTCATTGGTATAGGAGAAAAAAATGCATGCAGGTAACCTAGTAGGATATCTCTGCCTAAATTAGCATTGGTTTTATTAGTACTTATTTAATGATAAGTCTTAAATGGTAAATGACTAGAAAAAATGGTTACTCTTTTGTCACATTTACGATTTTATTTGCAGGAAAGATTTTTTCATATTAAAATTAATTTGTCGATTTGACCATATGTGTAATATTTTTTAAAGAGACACTGTAGAGGTAGACTGTTCCGGTGACCCCTCTATGTAAAAATATCTCTGAAACCTTTTATTAGGTAAAAGCATTTGTGATCTTAATGCTTTTGAGGAGCTTTTGCATGACCTCACTATTAGAGTTGTCACATTTTAGTCTCCTGGAACAAGGGTTAGGGCAGCATGGAAGGTTGAAATTGGTACGCTTTGGAGAGGAATTTGAGATGTTACCCTGTTTTGCCATCAGTTTTCAAGTAGGTACGGGTGCATCATTAATCATAGGAAATGCAAAAATAAATAATCCAGTCCCATTGGATTTTTTTATATGAATACTTACCTTTTCCCTTTTTTGTATATACAGTTGAGGTATTTAGGTAACCCCTAACCTTTAGCTTCAACAAAGAAGTACAGTATAAAAATATTACCACAGTTTTCATGTGAGCAGCTCTAGAGAGGGGGAGAAAAAAGCCCTCTAGATGGATATTTGTTGAAAAAAACTTGTGATACAGAATGTCTTAACTCAGCCCCAATACAGTACTTGAAGACCACCAGTGTATAAAATTGAAAGCACATGAGTTTTGAAGCACTAGAAAAGGTTTGTAATTGATTAGCGCTGCTTGAAAGTATTGAAGTACAGTGAGTTTTGATTTGTGAATGGTTCTATTCAATAAAGATTAATTCTGTGTGTTTGATAAAATCTTAGTGCCTTCAATGAGTTAGTTTTTTCCTCCCTCTGCAGTTTATTTAACCATCAAATATTTCAGTGTTCTTTTAACAAACTGGAACATTTCTATCTTACTGAATTTAACTTTAGCATGACTGATTTAAACAAGTCAATCTATCAGTGATTAGTTTGAAGGGTGTAATTGAACAGATTAATTTTTTGTTCTTGTAAAATAACTAAAATGTATCATAATGTTATCATGTATATTTCATGCCTTCTTTGTGATTTGGAGACCATTGGGAGGTTCATACAGGCTAACAAAGTATTTCTCTGTGATTTCTTTTGACTCCTTTGCATTTAAAATGTTTAAAAAAATTTAAGTGAAATCTTTGTTTTTTATATAAAATTAAGGTTATTATAATTGTATGTAATTTATATTATGAACCTTTGGGAATTGCCTTGACAGTTTTAACTTTTAATATATGTTAGAGTTGTCTTCTGTGTATGTTCTTGATTTTTTAAATTATCTCCCTGGATTTTAGAAGTTAGCTGTCTTATTTTAGAAGCAAGTCATACCACTTTGACATTAGTAAATCTTGAAAGTATAAAGTTATTGATAAAGACTACAACTGTTACTTTGGAAATCAGTGTTTACACATCATGTTTAGTCACTGTGATCAATTACAAAGGTTTTATGTGGAAATTTAATCAGTTAGCTGATTATAAGTAAGTTCTTAATTGTGAGACATTCCATGAGTCAGATCTATCATTTTCAAGAGACTTTATGATAAGTAATGGGCTTTTGGAAAATTTTGAAAAATGCAGATGGAAAATTCTTGTTTAATTCAAGGTAAATGGTATGCTGAGAGAGCAAGGAAGCTCTTTCTGTCTCTGTCACACACACCCTCACACACACACGCACGCACGCACACACTTCACTCTTACTTGAGGTGAAGTAATTGGTCAGTGTGTGTTTTGTCCCTCACCTAGGAAACGCCTAAACTTGTAAAAAATTATTTTGCAAAACTGGAGCACATACTTTTGACTTTTCATTAGGCTGTTGTGATAATCATTTATAAGAATTTAAGGTCTGAAGTGGGGTTTTAGACTTCAGATAGATGATGGGATGGGGGAAATGTTTGCTGTGTGATGACAGCCTATAGATAATGTTCGCTACACACCTATCATTAGTGTGGTGTAGTGGGTTCGTCTTAAATTGTCCTCCGGGTGCTAAAGTACTATTTGGGGGTGGGAGAGGCCAAATTCCACCCTCTAGAAGAGAAAGAATTAGTTACGATGTCTAAAAATATATGACATGCGATAAATGATCTTTATCTGTTTAGTTCACTATTATGCCTGGTTTAGAAACTTGGTCAGGTTTTGAAATTTTTACTGTAGAGATAGCTATGAAGGATGTCACAGAAATAGGAGAGCCCTTGCGTGATAGGATAAAGAGCATTTTAACATACTATTTGTGACAGTATTAATGTCTTTGTTTCTAATGCTCAAGTGGCCCTTGAAGCTTGTGCTGTTCCCCATCTGGTTAGAAAAATGTATTGGTTTTCGAACAGTAATATTGTGAAAGAATAAGTTAACTGCTTGAGAGCCTGTTTCAAGTTATTCGTCCTATAACAATAGTTTTAACCATTTTTTTCCCTTATCTCTGGTGGAAGAACAGCAAAAATTACCATGGGTAAGCTGTGATTATAACGGGGGCTGTAAGGCAGCCTAGTCGTGTGTACGTTATACTTCCTAAATGCAGAAATCCTTGGAGTAACGTTTATTACCTACCATTACATTTCACAAAAATAATCCGCGATTATTGTATTGTATGTGTCGTAACTGAGGGGGCCCACTTCCAACTATTGAGGGAGTCCCTACAGCAATTTTACTTTTTTTTTTGTAAAATACAAACTGCATTTCCTTACCTTTTTAAGAGAAACCTTTTTTCTCTTTCAGGTTTAATTATTTCTCTTTGGCCTAAACTAAGACTGAACTTCTGGTAGCCAGTTAAAATGTGTGAAGTAGGAGGAGTAAAGGAAACTCCAATCATTAGTTGTAAGTTATAAAGCAAAGTTAATACAGGTATACAGAGCAAAAGGATTTATTTTAACGGATAAAAGACAATTTTATAAACTTGCCTTGTAGTTGGAAAATGCTGGACATCATAAAGAAAATCTTGTAAGTGTTTAGATATTTTACTCTAATACTGTGTCAGCTGATGAATGTTGTAGTTTACTTTTGTGTATCAGCATTAATTTGAAATCGAATATTAAGGGACTATATTATGCCTGTTTTCTTTTAAAGTTCAGCATGATTTAATAGGTATGGCTTTTTAAAATCATGCAGGGTATCCTTACAGAGTTTTATTTTTCATGAGACTAAATGGTATTCATTTTGGTAGGTCCAAGAATATGATTAAAAGAATCCCAGACATTTCAGTGCTTGCCGTGTGTTTATAACAAGTTTTCCATATGGATAATGGTGTGTAGATGTAAAATTAAAATTACATAGAAAAATATAATGGCATGGACGTTTTTAAAGGCTTCTGTGAACTGTTTAATATCCTGGATGTCCTGGGTAACTATAAAGATCTTTTTAATATGGCTATTACATGCTTATAATTTTATATAGGAATATCTGCTTCAATTATACGGAGTTGTTTAGGAACAAACTTGGGCACCTATCTTACACTGCAGAGTAAGTTTACAAATAGATTTCTTTTAGTGGAGCTGGTTAAAATGTTAACTGTACTGCAGGTTTATTTCTGCAGTGGAGCATAATGGTAGAGCATAATGTCGAGATAATTCTGTGGTCTGTTATTTTGTAAAATTGCTTCCTTTTTGAAGTTTGCTCAAATATTGGGAGCTGCCAGGGTGAATACTTCATAACACTTTGATTAATTTAGCGTTCCATTGTATTTCACTCAGGGTTAATGAGAAGATTAAGCTTTCTTTTACTGGTTTTAACTACCTCATTTCTACAACTCTAGAAAACATTTTGACTAATGCCAGATAATGTAATTTTTTCTATTTCAAGTCATTCCTTCGAGAAGTAGATAAGTTACAGATGCCAAATGCAAATATGTACAGCAATTTCATTTTTTCATTTTTTAGTGCAGCAAAATAACATTATTATCATAATCTTCAATATAATACGTTACCCGGAAAAGCTAGCAGTTTATCCAAGAAACATACCTTTTTGTTTAACAGGTTCATCTCTTACAGGATTTTAAAATACAATAACACTTACCCCAAAAGAAGTTTTGCTGACATGGTGTCACTGTGCTGAAGAGGCTGTTTGATGCCATAGTCCCTCCTTTTTTTTTCAGACAGAACTTGTACCCTCTGTTGTAAATTCTGCTTGCAGCCTTAAACTGAAAATACAAACCATACCCAAACCTTGTTTTAGTTTTACAGTATGCCTGGAGTACATAGACTTTATATTTATTTTTTTCTGTCAAGAAATTATGTAGCTGGTAACATGTGAAAAGCAAGGAAACAAAACAAAAAGAGAATGAGCAAATATTTGAAGGACCTACTATTACTGCATAGACTGTGGTTAGAGAGCACTCACTGACTCTGTTGGTCTCGGTGGCTGGTAGTGACCTGCGGAGATTAACCATTTAAAAACCAGAGACTTCTTGCTGTCCTCCTGGAGAAAGTTTGCACCGCACTTGTGGTTCTGTGGTTGTTTGTGAGGCGAATGAAGCATTCACACAATCCAAAAAAGCAAAAGCTTTAAAACTCCTTTTTTTTGCAAGCACTATTACTGGAGAGACAGAATCATGTGGTTTGTGACCTCACAGTACTCCCAGTAAAGTGGGACTGCCTACCACTGTGGCTTTTCCCCCCTTGCTCTTGCTCTCTCTCTCTCTCTCTCACTGTCTCCCTCTCTCTCTCTGACAAAAGGCTTGTGGTAAGGCCCTTCCTGGCATCCAGAAGGATATAGCTTTTTAATTTTTGTGACTCATGAGGATTTGGATAGAATACAAATGCTGAAGGAGCCCAAACTCCTGTAAGGTTAAGCATTTGTAGAACAGAACTCTGCAGTTAAGGTTTTCCTTTCTGTTCCCCTACCCCCACTTATTTTTCCTTTTTCTTTCTTGCCTCCTTTTATTTCGTTCATTATTGTGTCTGTGGAAAAGAACAAAATTGGCTCAAGAGGCTGTGTGAAATTCTGAACAACAGTGATGATTTACAATAATTTACATCTTTGGATTGTATCACATTCTGGGGTCTGCTTCATATTTGCTGGGTGATTGGAGTCCTTCTGTTTTTCTTTTTCTTGTCTTTTTAAACTTGTGAATCTGTAACTCATTGTAAAAAAGTTTACCTTTCTTAAGGTCTGGTTGCAAACTGCTTGCTGGGCTTGACTGTAATTGGCTGTCATGAAAGTGTTAGTCTTGAGATTCCTTTACAAATACTAAATCATGTCTCTCTGGTTAATGTAGGATCAATATGAGATGCCGGCTCCTACAGTAAAGTTTAAATGTAATTAGTATCTTTTGTATTATGTATACCTTTATCTCATGACCAGTTTGAGAATCTTATAAAAATGAATGGCAGTAATTGTAACATACTTTATTGGATGAATCTTAGTTTTTTTTTATGCTTGCAATTTTTATTTTTCAAAGAAACATTCATTTTATATAAGTCTTTGGATAGTTTATTTGGATGTTAACTTTAATAGAGTCTTTGATGGCAAATCTTATATGTACATCTGTAAAGTAAAATTCTTGTGTTGTAACTTAGATTGTTCAATGCTATTGACTTTATAAACTCAGAATGGAGTGGGTTAACAGAAGCTGTATTTTTTGTTTATAATGGAAGCTTTGAAATAAATTACAAAATGCTGTGTGTAGTAAGGAATAATGCACACAGACAGAGTATGTTAGTCGTCTCGATTTGCTAATTCTGATTCAGAAGAAAATTGGAAACATCTTTGGGAAACTATCTCCTTTTTTGCCCCTTTGGACATGTATGTATAGAACTCATTTTCTTATTAGGATGATTATATATCATAGGCAGAGAATTTCATATTTATGAATAGAGCTTCCTGTTTTCATCAGTTGGGAGCGATGGGCTATTTTTCAACAAAAATTATAAAGCCGAACAGACCAATTTTCTAGGCTTTTTTTTTTTTTTTTGGCCATTTATCCACGCCACTCTGAATTTGCATGTTAGATTTCTTCCTAGTGTGATAGTAACTAGGAGTGGCGTGAAGTAAATGGCTGGGAGGGTGGGCGGAGACAGCGAAGTACAAAACATTATTTGGGGTTTATAACGGGGTTAGGGCTGGAAAACACCAAGGAGGTGTTACAGCCAAAATACTCTTGCTTATGATCTTCCTAGCACAGTTTATTATATGCTTTTGGTTTTTATTAGATAAATATTCCAAACACATTCATAAATTTCTTTATCAAAAATTCATTTGCCCAGAATATACTGGGAAGACATGAGCATGACTTTAATCCTTTATTATTCAGATGTCCAGAACTTTCTCATAATAAACTTTCAGTTTTAGAAAACCAAAAACACATTTTAGTGTCTTATTTTAAATATAGATTTATTATGCCTCACGGTGTGTGTAAACAGGCTTCCCATTGAAAAGTAAAACCTTTGATTTAACATGCAAGTTATTCAGTTATTCTCTTTCATAGATAAGGTGTACCAGTGTGATCTATATTTTGAATTTCTAGAGTAAGATAAAGGAGGGATTTGTACATAGTACCATATATATGTATAATAGCAGAATGAGGTAACTGAAAAAATTTAGGTAGCTGTTGTAGTGTGGTAAGTAAACACTTGTTCTTTAATGAAGTTTTCATTTCTGCAGAAGAATTCTTTGACAGCTCATGGCCCCAACTCTTTGCTAAATATTTGCCCCTTACAACAGTTTTTTTCTTTTTAAATTAAGCATACTTTGGCCCTCCAAATGCACCAATATGTATTTGAGTAATATTTACATCTGTGTGTCTATTAACTGCCTGTTATCTTTTTGCAGGTAACTCTCCTGCACATAATTTTTTTGTCAGGGTGATTACTCTTACTTCGTGAGAGTTTCGTAGATATTGTTGATTATGTCCTTTTCCTGTGAGGCCCATCAAATTCTGGCAGGAGAAAGGGAAGTCATGTGCTTTAAAGTTTGTATGTATTCATCATCCATACATATATTTTTTTCTAAATTGAAAATATATCCTCTTTGCACCAAAAATTACTTTGTGATAAAAATTTTAAAACAACAGTGATAACTGGCACAAGTTTGATAATTGATAGTTCGTTTCATTAGAAATTTACCTGTGAAGAAGAGACTGACTCAGAAAAGTGACTGCAAATAAAGCTCTTGATTATAGACTTATACAGTGCTTAAAATTAGAGATGGAAACCATAGACCCTCAAAACTTCATCCTTTTTGGGGGTTATGTTAGTATTTGCTATGTTGAAGTAAGTAACAAGTTTAGGTTGGCTGTATAAATTACGTACTTTAATGCCACAGAAATGAAAAGTAAAGCAATTCTCTTGCTTCCCCATTACTTTTGTATTTAATAAATATGTCAACTTTGGTTGAACTTTTTATTTTATATAGTAAAAAGTGTTTTAAATGCTACATATATCTTTATTGTTACCCCTTGAATTATTTTTTATTTTCTGAACTAATGATCCTAGTTGAATACAGTAGTATTATCAGTATCAACGTTGTACTCATTTCTGTTTTTTTTAAAGTTGTTTTATACTTCTATTTGCTACTCTTCTATTTTTCTTTTAATTGAAAACAATAGGAGCAAATGGTTTGATGTAGGAATTTTATAAATTGTAGAAATCCTGATTTGGCTTAAAATGCTCTTCCTGATTGTGTGGTTTTAGTAAAAGGAACTTTCTTAATCTCTTGTTTCAACTTGGTATTTTTTGACAATTATTTTGGATTTGATGTATAACTGTTTAGCCTTATATAACATTTATTGGGTCTTATATTAATTTGAAAATTTTTTATATTAGTAAGATATGTATAATTTTACTAATGTTTTAAATTATGGTTATGAGAGGTTAATTCCACTTTATTTTAATGGGGTATATGTTCATGTATACAACTGCATGCACATGTATGGTTTTGTGTGTTTGTACAGGGTGTTATTTGCGGTACTTTTTGTAACGAGAGTGTTTTTTTCTGTTTTTTTTTTTCCGCCTGAGTTTGTCTTAATTAAATTATATAAAAACCCAAAGCACCACCATGTCCATAATTGTTTGAACAACTTCATTTGGTTAGTAGTAGCAGCTGTCTGTCTAAATGTGAGGTTATGTAGAAATTGGATGCCAAGAGAGAAGATCTTAAACTTTGTCTCTCCCTCTTGTCCCCTTTTCTCCCCTTACTTTTTCCCTCTTTCACCCTTCTTTCCTCCCTCTCTCCTCCAGGCTATTTTTTGGTTTCTCTTTCTCTGTTTTGGCATTTCTATAAAGTCTCAGAGTAGTTTCTTTAAGTTTCTAGTAGGGGATACTGACATTAATCCTCAATAATGAAAACCTGGTAGGCTTGAAGCCTCTAACATTCAAGGCAAATCATTGTTATATCCTGATACGGTACACCTTGTTTGTTACGTGGTATTGGCATCTGATTAGAGATTTTCTTTTTTTTAATAGTTTAAAAAATTTTTTTCGTCTATGTTAATGTACTTGTAACACTGTTTCACATGACTTTAACACTTTAATTATGAGTATTACTTTTTCCCCCCGTTGTTCTTTGAATTACAGAGTGGTCCATACTTGTTTAATGTAGTTACATAAATCATATTTCTTATGATTATTAGGACAATTCATCTTCTAATGCTGTCATTTTTCTAAGAAGAAAAAAAGGCGCGAACTTGCAGAAAATATGGGAAATATGCTCATATGACAGCTGAGGATGTGGCTAGGCTAAAGCAGGAAACTACTACCCACAATGCAATGTTACATATACTACCACTTAATAAAATTTATATCAAACATGCTACTGACAAAACCAAAGAAAAATAATACCCCAACTATACCAGTTCAATGTACTAAATATAGGGAAAAGTGAAACTAATCTCTTTGGAACCTTTGTGCTTGGAGAATATAGTAAATGAAACCGTGGGACATCATACAGTACATGGGAGCCCTGTGGTAACTGTGCCTTCGTGCTGTTAGACTTTGTAGGTGAAGCTGTCTTAATAAAGAGAAGCTTCTGGCTCTTCACTTAAACGAAAAAGGCACAAGATGATACCACTTTCTCTTTCAATTGAGTTGTTGCAGTATTAAAAAGGGTTAAAGGATAGTCTGAGCTGGTAGGAAGAATAAGTTAATTATGAGATATTCATCATGATTATTTAAGCTTTTTATGCAGCCAGGTGTATTTCTTTAAATTTTGTTTTAAGCTGTTTATTATTGCTGGGTTTGAATTGGGGCTGCAGTTGGGGTTCAAATTGTCCACTAAGGCATATTTCTTCTCAAAGTAATTGTTTTTCTTGCTGTTTCTTTTTATTTTTGTTAACCTGCCTATAGCTTACCTGATTGTGCCATATGCTTTATTGTAGGGAGGTTAGTTTAAAGCAAAAATGTAAACTGCTTTTATAATGTGGTTGAAAAAGTTATTAGGGTATCTTTTTAAAAAGTGAGATTTCAGAATACTTAGGGTTTCTGTTTATAAATCTTAATCTTCTGTGCTCTTAGCTGTGAGACTTTAGCAATTTTAATGGATTTAGGACTGTAGTAATTTAGATGAATTTTGAGGTTTTATGAAGGAGGTTTC